CTGCATGGAAATGGGGAGGTTGGCCAGATGGCCTTCTCTGGCTTTGACCATCTACACCCCTGAAACGTGGGCCTTCTGGGTGGGTGCACTCATCAGGCTGCTGTGTCTTTACATTCAGTAAGTATCAGGAGCATTCTCCTCTTAGCCCACAAACTCTACAATTGACGTAAAAATAAATCTACTTGTTCACACCATTGCTTCGGAGTTCATTGTTCTCCAGTAGAAAAGGTTAAGAAGAAGTTCACTGTGAACACTTGGGAATCAAAAAGGAAGAAGGCGTTGTTCTAGGCCAGGGTTTCTCAGCGTTGGCTCCATTGACATTTGGGGCTGGATAGTGTTTTGTGGTAGGGGCTGCCCTGTGCAGTGTAGGATGTTCAGCAGCATCCCTGGCCTCCACCCACTAGAGGCCAGTAACACCCGCCCTCCTAATCGTGACCGTCAAAAATGTCTCCAGACACACTGCGGAATGGCCTTGGTGGTGGGCGGATCACCTGTGGTTGAGAACCACTTCTCTATATTTATCTTCATTTTGGCTTTCTTATCAAGGGGGAACACTTCAGTGGAGAATGAACTGTTGTTTCAACTTCTTTTTACCACTGTAGCTGTTCACACAGCTCACATTTGCTGTGTCCCAACAGCTGTGCAAGGCCCTGGGGCTACAATGTAAGTGACGCACCTGACCTCAGGTACTTACTGTATCCTCTTGGGAGATACACACAGATGCATCGGGAGCTGCACTGAGGGAAGGCTGTGCCTCGTGCTGTAGGGGTCTTCCTTGCACTGCTAGTGTCTTCTCCACCCAGAATACCTTTCCTTCCAGCCTCTCCCGTGGCTGGGTCTTGCTTGGCGTTCACTTCTCAGTTGAAATGACACTACTTCTGGGAGACCTGTCCTAACGTCGGTGTTAGCTATTTTCACCTAATGCTGCATAACAGCCCAGACCTCGGTGGCTCATGCCATTCCTCACTCCCACATCTGTGGGTCGGCTGGGGTGGGGCTGATCTGGCCTGGGCTCACATGGCTTTGGCTCTAAGCTGCAGCTTGGGATCAGTTCTGCTGTATCAGTTTCTTGTTCTGTTGTACCAGTGAGGTTCTTGGTGTGTGGTGTTCTGGTGATAGCAGAAGCACAAGAGGAAACGCTAGCCCTCACGTGCATTTCGGAATCTGCTGCTGTTATAGATGCTGACATCCTTTTGGTCAAAGCAAATCACATGGTCAAAGCCAGCAGGAGGGAAGGAGACTTTTCTTTCTTTTTCTTTTTTTTTTTTTTTTCTTGAGACGAAGTCTCGCTCTGTCACCCAGGCTGCAGTGCAGTGACGCTATCTTGGCTCACTGCAACCTCCACCTCCTGGGTTCAAGCGATTCTCCTGCCTCAACCTCCCGAGTACCCGGGATTACAGGTGCCTACCACCACACCCAGCTAATTTTTGTACTTTTAGTAGAGATGGGTTTCACCATGTTGGCCAGGCTGGTCTCGAACTCCTGACCTCGGGTGATCCACCTGCCTTGGCCTTCCAAAGTGCTGGGATTACAGGCGTGAGCCACCGTGCCCAGCCAGAAGGAGACTTATACTCTGCAAGGATGTGGCTCTATGATGCTTCTGCAGGGAAGTGAAGAACTAGGGCCAGTTGTCTTCCTCAGACCTCATCTAAAGCAGCTACCTAGTCACTTTCTAGCATTTTTATTCTCTTCTGAGCTCTGATACTCTTACATTTGAATTATTATTTCTGCTAAGTGCTTGATAAGGGTAAGGTCACAGACTTGTCATAACATGTGGACCTCCACAGGCAGCAGGGGCAGGCTGTTTTGTTTGGAGCCTTGGATCCCTGAAATCGCACATCTTGTAGGGAGGACTGGAGAGAGGCCCATTGTGATTGGAGGGAGGGGAGCCCGTTGAGGAGCAACCAGAGTCAAGACCTTAGCGCCTGGGGCCAAGGCCGCCATGTTCCGTGTCTCCAGGGAAGCCATCATGATAGGTCTGTGTAGTGGTGCCCCTGGCTGTGCGCAACCTGAGAAGCTGTTCTGGCTGCCTGGCAGATCATGAGGGACCTTGCATGACACTTTAGGTTGGCTAGATGCCTATTCTGGAAGCCCTCTTTGTTTTGGAAGAGGGTAGACATTGAGCATCTCTTAACCAAAGGCATGCACAAGTTATAAGCAGAAAGCTTCTGGAGGCCCCTTAGTTTTGAGGCACATGGTAGAAACTTGGCAGATACACAGCTTGGAAGAGCATGGCAGCAGCACCTCAGGCTTGAGCCTTGTATTGTGTTGATTAAAGTTGTATTTATTGGAGAGCCCAGAATCTCTCTTGGTGCAGCCATGCTTAGAATTTGCCCAAGGCAGCATGGGAGAGTCACCCACTGTCTGCAGACCTTATGCCTCCTCCTTCCCACCTGCCCAGATGTTCCAGGTCCTGACTGGATCCTTAGCTCTTGGGGAGCCCCCTGTGCCCCAGCTGTAGCCCCGCCTTGGCAGACACCCATCACAGTTCAGCTAAGGAGATAGTAATGAGGGAGGCGAGCCCTGGCTCCTGGGGGGAAGGAGGTCTGGGTTTTGGTCTCAGCGCTGCTGGGAGACGGGGGGCTTAGAAGCTTATTTCTCTGGCTTTAAGTCTCTTGCAAAACGAGACTAAGAAAACTCTGTCCTTTTGTTGTGAGAAACAAATAGGATGATGAACATGAAGGCTCTTGTAAAACGTCCTCAAAGTATTATTATTAGGCACTAATTTGCCTTCTGAGGAAGCAAAGAAAAAGTCATGGAAGTGTATTTTGTGCCAAGCCCTGTGTGAGGTGTGTGCAGTCTTTTGGTCTCACCGGAACAGCCAGCAGGGTTACTGCAAGGGCGAGGAGCCAAGTCAGAGAGGCAAGGCGACTTGCTCCAGGGCACACAGCCTGCGGGCGGCCGTGTGCACGAGGCCTGACCTCTTCCCGCCCCTCCATCTACCAGTTGTCGCCTGCGACTTCCTGTGGGCCACAGGCCTGGGCGCTGGGGAGCCAGCAGGGAAACAACCCGTGTCCCAGCTGCCTGGAGCTTGCTTTCCAGTCGACGAGGCGAAGGAGTAAGGACAGAGAAGGGCAAGTGCAGAACATTCAGTGCTGGGCCTCAAAGCAGGACTTGAGAGTGAGTAGGGGTGGGCCGGGAAGGCCTCTGAGGGGTGGGGACATTTCATAGGGACTTAAGGAGCCACTGCAGCAGCCTCTACAGGGGTCTACAGTGAGAGTGGCCCCCGAGGTGGGACCCATCTGTGCTGTGGTGGCCTCACAGGCTCTGGCTGGGCCTCCTTGGGTGGGAGAAGGCTGGTTGCCTTTGGAGGACCACCTCCTCTCCTTCTTCCTCCCCCATGGTTGCTAGGAGACTTTTTCCCAAAGCATCTGAGTAAGTTTTAATGACGAGGCTCCCGTGTGGCTGGCCTCCAGCCACAGAACATCATAGGACTCTGTGGGCAACACGGGCACTGCACCCTGAGCAGCTTTCTCTAGCTCAGCTTCTTCTCCACAGTTCCAGAGTATTCTGGAATCTTCAGGCTAGAATGAGCTTATAGGAAGAGATTGGTTTGGGCAAGAGAGCCACCAAACCACCTCCAGTGGGGTGACTTCCACCCGACAGTCCCACTTAGAGCAACGCTATTTCCCTACGGGTTGTTAGCAAACGTGCCGGATCTCGCAATGCGTAAACTTCCCGGAGGGAGGATTTTGTAAAGGAGTGTTCTCATGGTTGCATTCTGAGCCAGGATATTAGAAACAGTTTGTCAGGCTGTCATGGGTTAGATGATGCTTTAGTCTGAGTGTTTGTCCATTTGGGGGATGCATTTTATTTTTTAAAAAATGTTGTATATTTTAAAAAGTGGAACAATTCTTTTGAAGTAAGTAGTTATTTCCAGGAAAACTTTAGGATTAAGGAAACTTGTAAAAAGATCTACAAATAGAGACCCCCGTGGCTGCGCACCTGTCACCACAGAGCCTGATGGTGCTGTGCAGTCTAAAGGGGTCACGGGGCAAGAAGAGGTGACTTTGGTCATGTCCAGAGCAGGCTTCTCAACCTCAAGGGTTTGGCGAGTCGTCCCAGGACCCAGGGCTGGGCAGTGCAGCCAGCTGCCGGGTAGAGCTGTTGCCCCTGGGCCCAGGAGCAAGGGTTTGAGCACCAGCTCTCTCGCCCCAGGCCAAGGAGCCTCTTCCCTCTGTCTGGTGGTCAGATGGTGCCTGTGTGTGCAGAACCCTGAGCGGGAGCCCTGGGAATAAGTTGTTCTTCATGATTCCAGAGAGGGAGGCGTCTCCTGTGTGCCACTCACCCAGTGTGGTGTCTGAGCTGGTCTTTGTGTTTCAGAGAGACCCCCCCCCATCTTTCTTTAATGCGCACGTCTTCGTGAAGCCGTCCTCAGCATCACCCCGATTGGATGTGATCTCCCCAACTGTTCACACCTCTCTTCCTGCCTCTTGGTCCGCTCTGTCTGATGTTCTAGATCACTCCCAAAATGCACCCTGTCTGCTGTCCTCAGGGGAGTGATCGAGCCTGGTTCCTCTGGCTGGAGTGGATTGGGGTAGGTCGGGATGTTCACTGGAAGGCTAGAAGCAGCGAAGCTGGGTCCCAGGAAGGACCTGGGGCCGGAAGGTCGTGTTTACTGATGGCTTCTGTTCCATCGCCTGCTGACCAGAGGCTGAAGCGGGGAGGAGTGGGCGGTGAGTCTGTGAGTGGAGAGTCGTAACCCACATCTGTGCCGCCCAACAGCGTGAGGCTTCCTGGGTGCCTAGGGCTGGATAGGGCCAGGATGGGCTGAGGACACAGACGTGAGGACAGTGCCTGTCTTCCCGCACACGGTGGCAGGGCCATGTGTGGGGGACATGGGGGAGGAGAGGGGCTGCCTTGGGTGCAGCAGTACAGGTGACAGCAGATGGGAGGTCTCTGCAGGGCTCCCAGGTGGACAGGAGCCTGCCAAGCGGGCCAGATGGGGTGGAATGGGGTGAGGGGTTTGCAAAGTGGTGGGTATGGGGAAGGCTGCCCTGGAGTGAGTTCTAAAAAGAGTTCTAAAAAGGAAGGTCTCTTCTCACTCTTACCTTGGAGTGGGAGCACCGGAAAATTAATCCCAGATCAGCAGAGCTCAAGGCCTGGTGCAGAGAAACCCATGTGTCATGGTGACGTGAAAGACCTATTTCAGATTCTCCCTAGGGTTCAAGTTTTCCCCAGAGGCAGAATTTTTTCCTGGGTCTTCGGTTCTTCACCTGTAATGAGAGGCGATCCTGAGGGATGTGTTTTAGAGGAGTGGCAGCTGCCCTGCTTACCCAGCATCAAGTCCTTCCTGCAGCCACACCTGCCTGGCCCTGGGGACAGGGACAGTGTCACGCCACCATCCTTCCCAGGGCCCCACCCACAGCTGAAGGAGTGAAACTTACTTTTTACAGACCTATTTTGAGGGGCACATTCATTTTGCTAAGTGAGATACACATTTATAAATATGAAGCAGGAAATTTCTGAATCTTGATAGCTTAGAGATCGTGGCCACCACTGTATGTGGAAGCCATGGAAACTCTGCACGTGTTGTTTCAGATTTAAAATGCGTGCAGCTCACACCTAAGTGCTATAGGGCTGGTATCTTCATGACCATCTACATTTCAGTTTAAAAAAATCTCTAGGCCCGGTGTGGTGGCTCACACCTGTAGTCCCATTGTTTTGGGCAACTGAGGCAGGAGGATCACCTGAGCCCAGGAGTTCAAGACCAGCCTGGGCAATATAGCAAGACCCCATCTCTACAAAGAATAAAATTAGCTGGGACTAGTGGCGTGTGACTGTAATCTCAGCTACTCAAGAGGCTGAGGTGGGAGGCTCGCTTGAGCTCAGGAGTTTGAGGCTGTGGTGAGCCCTGATTGTGCCACTGCAGTGCAGCCTGGGCAACAGTAAGACCCTGTCTCTATCTGCACCGCATGCCCCCCGGCCCACCCCCAAAAAAAGTCCACTCCTTTCTGGGAAAAGATGGGGTTGTGAAATATGTAAATAAGTTGAGGAGTGCTTTAGAGAGGGGTTTTGAACCACAGAATAATGAGATTTGAATGTGGGAGATCTCACCCTCTAGTTTTAACACCTTGTTTAGTCTCAATTCCCTCTGTAAAACCAGAGTGACATCATCTACCTCAGCACTGGCTGTAAAGTTAGAGGAGATGAGGCTGACAAAGTGCGTGCCTGTGTCTAGGACTTAATGTTGTGATGCTGAGGTGAGGAAACTGAGGCCAGGAGGGGGACTCCCTGCCCAGGCTGCATGTCAGTGTCGCCTGGGAGCATTGCTGCCACCGTCGCCTCCCGCCCGCTGCGTGAGCGCCCCAGGGTGCTGCCGTCTTCCCAGGTGACTGTGCCGCCCTCGCCTCCCGCCCACTACGTGAGCCCCCCGGGGTGCTGCCATCTTCCCAGGTGACCGTGTTGGGAGCCTCTGCCACCACCAGCACAGCACCTCCGGCTCACTCTGGAATCTTCTCTCTCAAAGTTGGCTCCTACTTCTGGCTTGAGGTTTTCTGGGCTTGGCAGCATCACCCGATGGGATTTGTGGCCTGGCCCTGGAGGCTGTGAGTTGGCCTGTAGGGCTGTGGCTGAGCCTCCCACCAGCTACACCCATGGGGGGCCGGCGGGGGGGTGTTGGGGGTTACCAAGCTCCTTGCAGGCCTTGTAGCCATGACTTTGGGAGAGAGGGACCATGGGGATAGAACAGGGGGGCAGCGCCCCAGGGGGTCCTCCTCCTCAGTTGAAGTAAGTTGAGAGAATTGGGGTGCTCTAGGAAACCCAAGACCTGGCACTCATGGAATTTTCTAGTAACAGTGAGCTCCCTGGGAGGCAAGGAGGGAGTTCCCTGGCAGGGATGGGACCTGCAAACCCATGTCCCTGCAGCCAGCCTTACTGGAGCCAGAAGGGAACTGTGAGTGCAGGTTGGCAAGGGGAGGCCTCTGTGACTCGGGGGAGGCTCAGGAACTGGAGCCAGCCTGACTCTCTGGCCAATCTGGGAGCTGGCCGCCTCTTCTTCCCTCCAGCCTCCTTCCCGGCTGGTCCTCTGTGGGTCAGGTCTTCTGGCCTTGCTTTTCCCCTCGGAAGTGAGGCGGACAAAGACCAGACAGTGTCAGGGCTGGAGGGAGCTTTGAGGGAAGCTGATTCGCAGCTCACCGATGAAACTGGAGCTCAGTAGCAATTAGACCTGGAAAGTTGCCCAACTGGTGAGGGGCAGGGTCAGAGTCCAGGGTTCCCCCCGAATTTATGTCCCCTATTGTATGTACCTACAAGTGGAGTGAAAAAGTGGATTTTATTTTTAAAAACTTGCAGATCAGTGAAAGAAATACTGTCCTGCATAGAGGGTCACCAGGCATGAGCCAAGCCTGACGCTGCTTCCAGCCTTGGGTCATAATCTTCGGTGATTGGTGTGGAGTTTTTCTGAGATAGTTGTTCTGGTGGTCTGCACAGCAGGCCTTAGGTGGACAACTGGGGGGATAATGACTAACTCCTTGCACAAGCTCAACACTGCTCACTCGATAGAGCCTGTCCCATCTGTCCCTGTGAGATGGCCAGGTGGGGCATGTCCATTGGAAGCAGGAAGACCCCGGAGTACAGAGTTCTTTCCTCAGCCCAGTGTGACACTCAAATGGTTGTGGCCCCAGGGCAGCCTGCCTTGTGTGGGGCCCTTGGTGCAGGGTCGCCTGGCTACCCTGGCAGTGCGGGGCCCGGGTGCTTGGTGCGGGGTCACCGACCCTGGCAGTCTGGAGCCCAGATACTCGCTTCCCGGTTGGCCTCCACCTCCCTGTGCGGCTTACCCTTTGGCCTCCAGGACCCAGAGCACTGAGAGCGCAGGAGACCCTCAGCCCTGGACACTGATGTATGGCCTGGTGAGGAAGCCTGACCTTGTCACCCAGCTCTCCTGGCTTCTGGAATCGTGAGCTTGGGGGCAGGCAGACTTCCAAGGCCACACAGCCCCTGCAGGAGAGCGGTCTCTGGGCTGGTGGAGGCGGTCTGGAGCTCAGCACAGTCTGTGGGTTTTGCTTTGACTCCTTCAACTCATGTTGGCAGCTTTTTGGCCAATCAGGTGTTGAGTGAGTGGCCTGAGGCCATGTGGTACTGACCACTCAGACAGGGGCGGGTTGTCCTGCCCCAGCAGACTTGCCCCACAAATGGGGTAGGCGACTGGGGCTGCTAAGACCCAAGAGGTCAACAGGTCATTACGGGCTGGAACCAGACGCCAGCAGAGCGTGGGAATCTACACCTGGTGACTTGCTGACCAGCACTGAGACTCGCCTGACCTCCTGATTCATGACGCAGCGGGCCCTTGTTGAGTGCTACAGAGGCTGCAGGAACATTCTGCCGGGTGTGGTGGTGGTTGATCCTCAGGGCAAGTATTGATCAGCTCTAATGAAACACAACAGAGTTCAGAGGGGATATGGCATAACCAAGAGAACCGAGAAAATTCATGTCACAACCAGCCTCCCTTGTTGTCTGTTAGACCATCTTGTTTAAAAATTAAAAATTGACTTCCTGCCTTTTTCACCTACCCCAGAATCCATTCTACTCCATGAGGCTAACCTTTTCTCCCCTGAGGGCCAGAAACTGAGAAATTCTTCTACTTCTCTTCCCATCCCATTTCTCAACTCCAAACTCAGTTCCCAGAAACCACACCTAGCAGACAGGCATCTGGAAACCAGGGCTGGGAGGGTGGCCACAGCCTTGGGGGAAGGGCGTGGAGCTGGCGCCAGGGAAGCTGCAGGAGCCAGACCAGGAAAGAGGCCTTGCTTGAAAAGACTTACTGAGGCCAGTGGTGTTGGAGAAGTAGGAAGGATTAGCACTTGGTCCAGACATGTTGGGGCCCAGTCATGGCCAAAGATCGGAATAGCAGCAGCCAGTCCTGGACGCCAGGCAGGGTTGGGATGTTCAGATCTGTACCCAAGGTTACCCCAGCAGACCATCAGATCTGCAGTCCCTACAGCCTATGGAAGTGGGCCAGGACACCTGGGGCATCTTCAGGGTGCCAGGGATGGGGAACGGGCACTTGATACCCCAGAAGCCCTTTGAGCCAGGGCACTGACCTCACAGGCAGTGGGGGAGACCTCAAGTCCCAGAAATACCCCCACAATAACTTGAGACCTGAGTATTGGTACTGGGCACCCCTCACCTGCTGGCAGGTGGGGTTAGCTGAGAGGATACCTGTGAATCCCAGAAAACTAGAAACCTGTGACACATGTGTAAGGTAAACATTGTGACTACCAAATCAGCCTGGGGCCCCTTCAGGGGTCCTGCAGCATCCCAAACCATCTGAGCTTTTAGGATTACACAGTCCTGCTCAGTGGGACCCGGGATTTGTGCACCCTCCTTCCCGACAAATCGGCACAGTGCTGCTTGAGCAAATGCGTGAAGAAATGAATGGGTGGCAAAGGGTCTGCTCAGTCCTCACAGCTGGAGGTACTGGCCAGCCTTGCTTTGTTGGGAAGCTGGAGGGGGAACCACAGCCCCTCAGCCAGCCTCGAACGCCTGCACCGTGCCCCTTGTGGAATCTTTGAGCCTTTCACTTTCAGGCCTTGAGCCATGCTCCTGGGTGGACCACACATCCACGGTACATGTGGTGGTGTCTGAGGCTCTGGGGTCCAAGGCTCTGCTGGGCCCCTCCCTGGACATTGGGCAACTTGAGGTTTGATTTTGGTCACCACCCACCCCACCTCCTCCATCCCCTTTTCTGAAGACATGCCTTCACCCCTGGCCTTTTCTCTCTTCTTCCTTGGGGTGCAGATCCTGGCCAACGTCTTCCTCTACCTGTGTGCCATCGCTGTGGGCATCATGTCCTACTACATGGCTGACCGCAAGCACCGCAAGGCCTTCCTGGAGGCCCGCCAGTCGCTGGAGGTGAAGATGAACCTGGAAGAGCAGAGCCAGCAGCAGGTGAGGCTCTCGGGAGGCCTCTGGCCTGGAGCTTGGGCTCAGGGACTGTGGCCTTGTCAGAAGGAGAGGAATCAGAGTGGCAGCCCCTGGCTCCGTGGGGCTTGGCGTTCATCTGCCCTGTTCAGGTGTTTGCTTCTGAACTTGGCCTTCTGGGCTCCTCGCCATTAGAGAGCAGCTTCTGAGCTTCAGGGAGCCCCTCACTCCTAAATCTGCTTCTGCTTGACCCGGATCTCTCCTCGTCTGCCTTCCTGCTCTTTGCTTTGTTTTGCTTCTGTAATGTAAAACTTTTCCATTTAAAGAAATGCATCGCCCAAGCAGCCAGCTATGACTTCCTGCATTCCTTTCTCCGATGACCCTCTCGGGACCAAGGTCAGGGTCAGGGGCATCATGGGCATCCCTTCACGTCATGCCTCCCCCACCGCTCTTGCTAGTCCAACCGCAGATCACCCTGTGCACCTGCTCATGCCGTGGGTGGGGCCTCGACCCATCCTGCGGCCTCAGGGCCCTGCTGGGTGAAGTGTGTCAGCCTCACGCCCCCAGCCAGGGGAGCTCCTCCCTCCCTTACCTTCCCATCTGAGGTCACTGCTGAAGAAGGAAAACTAGCCTGTTCCTCGGGGATGCCCCTGTTTACATTCTCCATCTGGAGAGAGGCCTGGCTGTCCCTGCCTCGGTTTCCTGGCTTTCCTCCAGTCTCTTCCATGGCCGAACCATCCTCCCAGTTCTCATGTCACTCAGGCTGTTACATAGTTTTGGCCTGGATTCATCTCACATGCTTTTTGAAGGTCTTCAGAAATTACATCCACCAATTTCCTGTTATCCATAGGTTGATTTCCCTTCAAAAACAAGCTCTCAATAGGTTGACACTATGAGAACTTGTTTGACACTATGAGAGGTTCTGCTCTGGGAACCACATCGTTTGTGTTCAGGAGGCTCTGTGTGCTCCTGATGCACTGAAACTGCTGTTTTCATAGATGGTGCCACTCAGGTGGACAGGGCCTTGGTTTCAGGAGCCACTCTGGAGCCCTTGGCTTCCAGGAGCCCCACCGTCGGGCCTCACGTTCTCTAGACAGTGCTGTTCCGAGGCACACACTAAGTCATTTAGCTGATGGGTCCCCGATTTCACCGTCCTGGGGATGTTTTTTTTCCCTCCCCATTTACCAATCTCATTCCTTTCAGAAGGCCCCCATAGGAGGGGATTTTCTTAGTAGCCCATCATATTCCCCCCTTCCCCTGGGCCCTGTGACCTGTGGTTATTGAGGAGCTGCTGTGGCCTGTGCATATTTAAAGAATCTTCCTTTCCTGGCTTGTAAAGCCCCTTGAAAGGCATTCTTTAATTTCTGGTTTTTTTTATACTGTCTCATTTCTTGTTTGTATCTGATCTCACACTGTGGCGGCATCCCTCTGGGTTCTCTACACTTAAAAAAAAAAATGCACGTGTCACCACCTAGCTAGGCGAGCGTTCTTTTTATATAACATTTGTGCAGTTTTCAGCATGTCTGTCTGCATCGCTCTTATCTGTCTCATATTGTACAATCTAGGACATCTTAAGTCACACTGAACGGTCTTGTGGGGACCCCTGGTGTGATGAGGAAGGCCCTGTGTTTCACCCTGGAGCTGTTCTCTTGCAGATAATTTAGATAAGTTATCCACCCTGCAGAGCCTCACTTTTCCTCATCTGCAAAGTGGAGGTATTGACATTTGTCCTGTAGGTTTCTTGAGGGTCAAATGAGAAACCCAGAACTGCTTTGTAACCCGTAGAGCTTGTTAGAGGTAGGCCGAGTGCACGGGGCCATGAGGCCTGCTTTCTAACGCCCAGGGCCATATGCTCCCTCTGGGCAGGGTCAGCGCAGGGAGCCTGGGCACCAGCAGAGAGGGTCATCCCTGGGTGACCCGGGGCTCCTGAGGGTGCTAGCAGCCTGCCTGGGCCACACTGGTGCTTCTCTGCACTGCCTGCCCACGCTGCATGGGCAGAGCAGACATTGGCCCCGGGACGGACAGGTCCAGGTTAGGTGGAAGGGAGGTGCAGAGGTGTGGGGGGAGTTGAGGGGTAAGGTGCATCCTCAGGCCTAGCTGGGCACACAGCCGGGGCCTATAGTTCTCCAAGTGGAATGAATTTGTCTAGCCCGGCTCTGTCCTGAGTGAATGAATTTGTCTAGCCAGGCTCTGTCCTGAGTGAATGAATTTGTCTAGCCAGGCTCTGTCCTGAGTGAATGAATTTGTCTAGCCAGGCTCTGTCCTGAGTGTGGCCTTGGGCTCGTTGCTGCCCCTCTTTGGCCTTCAGTATCCCCGTATGTAAAACTTTTGAGAGATTTTTTTTTTTTTTTTTTGAGACGGAGTCTTGGTCTTGTCACCCAGGCTAAAGTGCAATGGCACGATCTCGGCTCACTGCAACCTCCGCCTCCTGGGTTCAAGCGATCCTCCTGCCTCAGCTTCCCAAGTAGGTGGGATTACAGGCACCTGGCACCATGCCCGACTAATTTTTTTTTGTATTTTTAGTAGAGACGAGGTTTCACCATGTTGGCCAGGCTGGTCTCAAACTCCTGACCTCAGGTGATCCGCCCACCTCGGCCTCCCAAAGTGCTGGGATTACAGGTGTGAGCCGCCGCGCCCTGCCGAGAGATTGTTTTAAGGGTAAGAAGGAACCTGTGTGAATTCCACTGGGATTGGTAAAGCACTGTTACCATCGGGAGGGTTGGAATTCTGCCCCCTGTGTGAGTGTCCATTTACCTATATTCTCCTTACGTCTTCTGTGACTGTTCAAGAGAGAAACCTGCCTGCCATTTTCCTTCCTTTCCATGCGCTTGACAGGGTTTGGTATTACGGTTATGCCCAACTCATTAAATAATTTGAGAAGTGTTCCCTCTTTCTAACCCCTGATAGTTTGAAGATAATTTGGGTTATTCCTTAAATTTAGAAGTCACGGCATGTGGCTGGCCTGTAGGTGTGGCCAGGCAGGTGGCTCTGCCTGTAATACCAGCACTTTGGGAGACAGACAGGAGGATCACTTGGGCCCAGGAGTTCAAGACCAGCCTGGGCAACAAAGCAAGACCCCATCTCTACAAAAAATGAAAAAATTAGCTGAGCATGGTGGTGCATGCCTGTAGTCCCAGCTACTTGGGAGGCTGAGGTGGGAGGATCGCTTGAGCCCAGGAGGTTAAGGCTGCAGTGAGCCGTGACTGTGCCCCTGCATTCCAGCTTGGGCAACAAAGTGAGACCCTATCTTTTTTTTTAAAAAAAAAAAAAAGGCACTAATGAAGAAGTCCTGTGGGCCTGGAGTGTTCTTTAGGGGAAGATTCTGTTTCCATCACAGATAATAAGGTTGTTCAGATTTTGTATTTCCTTTTGTATAGGTTTTAGAGAGGTTTTTTCCCCCAGAAACATGTCCATTCAAATTTTCAAAATTTTGGCATAACATTCTTAATATTTTCTTTTTACCTTTTGTCTGAAATGTATAATGATGTTCCTTTTTTTTCATTACCGAAGATAATTTGTGCCTTTTTAAAATTTTTCTTAATCAGTCTTGCTAAGGCTTATTGTTTTAGCCTGTTCGGCGGACCACCTTTAGTCTTTGTTGCCTTCTTTGTACATTTCTTATCTCTTATTTATTTTTGAGACGGAGTCTTGCTCTGTCACCCAGGCTGGAGTGCAGTGGCGAGATCTCGGCTCACTGCAAGCTCCGCCTCCTAAGCTCACGCCATTCTCCAGCCTCAGCCTCCCGAGTAGCTGGGACTACAGGTGCCCACAACCGCACCCGGCTAATTTTTTGTATTTTTAGTAGAGACGGGGTTTCACCGTGGTCTCGATCTCCTGACCTTGTGATCCACCCGCCTCGGCCTCCCAAAGTGCTGGGATTACAGGCGTGAGCCACCGCGCCCGGCTACATTGAGCTTTATCTCACAAGTTTTAATATGCCATATTTTCAATGTCATTTAATTTAAATATTTACTAATTTTCATTGAAATGCCTTTGATCCGTGGGCGATGTAGAAGTGCACTAAGTTCTAAACACTTGAGGATTTGTTTACAATTATGTTTTTTTTTAGCTTTATTCTGGTCAGAGAACATACTCTGATTTCAAGCCTTTGAAATTTGTTGGAACTTGATTTTTGGCCTAGCATGTGGTCAGTTTTGATGCACTTGAGAATAATGTGTATTCTGCCAAATCTGTCAAAATCTTTTAAAAATGAAATAATGTCGCCGGGCGCGGTGGCTCACTTCTGTAATCCCAGCACTTTGGGAGGCTGAGGGGGGCGGATCATGAGGTTAGGAGATCGAGACCATAGCTAACACGGTGAAACCCCGTCTCTACTAAAAATACAAAAAATTAGCCGGGTGTGATGGCAGGCGCCTGTAGTCCCAGCTACTCGGGAGGCTGAGGCAGGAGAATGGCATGAACCTGGGAGGCAGAGCTTGCGGTAAGCCGAGATCGTACCACTGCACTCCAGCCTGGGTAACAAAGCGAGACTCCGTCTCAAAAAAAAAAAAAAATAATAATGTCAACTATGTCATATTTGCATCTGCCCCAAATTATTGCTTACCTCTTTAGTCAATGCAAGGATCTCACAACCTTTTAACTTCATTTCACAAGCCTCTGCCCCCCACTTTCTGGCTATTAGTGTAATATGTTTTAGTTCAACATTTTAAACCCCACAAGCCCTTATCGTGATTATTTTATATAATATTTTTATCTCATTAATATTCTTTACTTATATCTACCCACAGTTTTACCCTCTCAATTGCTCTTCATTTCTCCATTTCTTTGCTTCATTTTCTGGTAGAATTCCCTTTAGTATTACCTTTTATGCTGATCTCTTGGTATCAAATTCTCCCCATTTCTGATTACCTAGGAGTGTGTTTATTTTGCTTTCATTTTTGAAAGATATTTGTCTTCATCTGTGTTGTGCTGCTACAACAGAATATCTGAAACTGGGTAATTTATAAAGAACAGAAATTTACTACTTACAGTTCTAGAGGCTGGTACGTCCAAGATCAAGGTACCAGCATTTGCTCTGGTGTCCATACATGGCAGAAGGGCAGGCTAGCTGAATGTTGAGTGACGCCCTTTTAAAAGGACCTTAACCCTACTAAAGAAGGAGCAGCCCTCGTGGCCTGATCCCCTCTTAAAGGCCCCACCTCTTAATATTATTACACTGGCAGCGCCTGAGTTTTGAACGGACACATTCAAATCATACCAAGACTTTTTGCAGATAAAGAATTCTAGGCTGCCATTTTTTATTTCTAGCCCTTTAAAAGCATCATTTCACTCTTCTTCCGCTTCCATCGTTCCTGTTGAAATACCAGTTGTCAGGTAGACTGTTGCTCCTGTTACATTAATGCATACTTTTTCCTGTGGTTGCTTTCCCAATGCTCTTTGTTTTTGGTTCTCAGCAGTTTTACGATGCTGTGCCTGGGAGTTTGCTTTGCAGTTGCTCTGCTTAGTATTCACAGAGCTTCTTGAATGTTGGTTTGATGTCTCTTGTCAGTTTTGAACATTTTCAGCCAGTATCTTTTTATTGCTTCTTCCCATTCGCTCCTTTCCTCTAGGACTCAATATCCTTGTTAGACTCTTACCATGTTCCAGAAGTATCTCTTCTTTTTCTGAATCTTTTTTTCTTTCTGCATTTCAGACAATATTTTATGGACCTAATCTACAGTTTACTAATCCTGTCTTCCTCTGGTTTGTCAGATCAGTGATTGAGCTCTTCTAATGAGTCATCAATTTCAATTATTATCTATTTTTCTGTCCTAGAATTTCCATTTGATTTTAAAAACTGGACTTCAGTTCCCTATGTATTCCTATTTTGTCAACTATTTTTTTAGAATATATTAAACATTTATTTTAAAGTTCCTGACTGACAACCATAATACCAATGGGTATGCATTTTTGTTGTTGAAACCTTGGCATCTTGGCTTTTTTTTTTTTTTTTTTTTTTGAGACAAGGTCTTGCTTTGTCACTCAGGCTGGAGTGCAGTGGGTTACTGCATCTTTGAACTCCTGGGCTCAAGCAAAACTCCCACCTCAGCCTTGTGAGTAGCTAGGACTGCAGGCGTGTGCCCCCATGCCCAGCTAATTAAAAAAGTGGTTTTTTTGTAGAGATGGAGTGTCACTATGTTGCCCAAACTGGTCTCAAACTCTTGGCCTCAAGCGATCCTCCCCCTTTAGCCTCCAGGCATTTTTAAGAATTAAATACTAGATGTTGTGAATGGGAAATAGTAGTGGTTCTGAATAATGTTGTCTCTCCAGGGAGGATGTACTTTTCTTGTGGCAGATGGTTAGAGCAGGGGCAGATAGGAAATAGCTTTTCAGGGGTCTTAACTGGAAGGCTGGTCCTTTTCTCATGGTAGCTTGAACTCCTTAGCAACGTGAGACTGCTGAAAGCTTAGGCTCTTAGCTCTCAATTTCTGCTTGGATTCTTGGTCTCTTGCCCCATGCAAATACTAAAGGGGAATAGTCGGACTCACTGTAGTATGGTTCTCTTTCCCTGGGGTCTTAGCCCCTCTGCTCTTTCTGCCTTGGAATCCTTGCTCACAGTCCTTGTTTCTCCAACCCCTTGAAAGCCCTCCTCACTGCACTCTCTTCAGCCTCTCGACCCCAGTCCCAAGGGAAAATGGCAGAGTGCATTGGGCTGACCGAACTGTGTTTCCCTTCCCCTAAGGGCTTGGCCCCTCAAGTCCTGGCTGCTTTGGTTGTTTCCATTGCCTTTAAAGAGCTGGGTTTTTATGTATTTTATCCAGCTTTTACAGTTGTTCTTGGCTGGAGGGTTGGCCTGCTAGTAAGATCCTCTATAGCAAAAGTATACGTGTATAAAATCATAAAAGTATGAAAAAGGGTATACTAGGAAAAGTAAGTCATCCCACCTTCATTTCCCCTAGCCATCCAGCCCCGTTCACCAATCACCCGTCACTATTATCTTTTTAATGTACCCTTTCAGAGGTTTATAGAATTTACACACACACACACACACACACACACACACACGGTAGCCTATTCACTCTTTTGTACTAAATCTTTTCTTTTCTTTCTTTCTTTCTTTTTTTTGCTGAGACAGAGTCTCACTCTGTTGCCAGGGCTAGAGTGTAGTGGTTCAACCTCGACTCACAACTTCCACCTTCTGGCTTCAAGCGATTCTCCTGCCTCAGCCTCCCGAGTAGCTGGGACTATAGGCGTGCACCACCACACCCGGCTAATTTTTGTATTTTTAGTAGAAATGGGGTTGCACCATGTTGGCCAGGCTGGTCTTGAACTCCTTACCTCAAGTGATCTCCCTGCCTTGGCCTCCCAAAATGCTGGGATTACAGGCACTAGATCTTTTCACCTACTATCTTAGCATTCCAAGTCTATATTGCATTGCCACATCCTTTTTAATGACTGTGTTCAGTCATTATACAGAGGTAACATAATTTATTGTTGCGCTCTTGGTAGGCTTCTAGGTTATTTCCGATCTTTTGCTACTGTAAACATTGCTGTAATAAATATCCTTGTAGCAGTATTTATTATAGTATATATGTGCAAGTATATCTGTGGAAGAATAAAAACCTAGAAGTGGAATTGCTGGATCAAAGGATATTTGCATTTAAAAAATTATATATAGATAGCTACTGTAAAATATACGTAGTATAAAATTTACCATTTTAACCATTAAGTGTACAATTCAGTGGCATTAAGTACATTCACAATATCGTGCAGCCATCACCACTGTCCGTTTCCAGAACTTTTTCATCATCCCAAAGAGAAACTCTGTGCCCATTAAATAATAACTGCCCATTCTCCCAGGCTCTGGTAACCACTGTTCTACTGTGTCTCTGAATTTGCCTCACTAGGTCCTTTATATAAGTGGAATCATATAATATTTGTCCCGTTTTGACTGACTTATTTCACTTAGCATGATGTCTTCTGTGTCGTCGCGTAGATCAGCATTTCTTTCCTGTTTAAGGCTGATATTTCATTGTGTGTATGTGCCACATTTTGTTTGCTCATTTGGATATTTGGGTGGTTTCTGCGGCTTTGCTATTGTCAATAGTGCTGCTGTGAACACGGGTGTACAAGTATCTGAGTCCCTGTTTTCAGTTATTTTGGATATATACCCAAAAGTGGAATTGCCAGGTCATATGGTAGTTCTGTGTTTAATTTTTTGAAGAATCTGGCATGTGCTTTTTTTTTTTTTCTTTTTCTTTTCCTTTTTTTTTTTTTTTGAGACAGAGTCTTGCTCTGTCACCCAGGTTGGAATGCAGTGGTGTGATCTCAGCCTACTGCAACCTCCGCCTCCAGGTTCAAGCGATTCTCCTGTTTCAGCCTTCCGAGTAGCTGGGATTACAGGTGCCCACCGCCACTCCCAGCTAATTTTTCTTATATTTTTAGTAGAGATGGGATTTCACCATGTTGGACAGGCTAGTCTCGAACTCCTGACCTCTGGTGATCTGCCTGCCTTGGCCTCCCAAAGTGCTGGGATTACAGGCATGAGCTACCACGCCTGGCCTCCTATAGAGTTTCAAACAATTTATACTCCACCAGCAATGAGTGAGAGTATACTTAGGCACTTAAGTTTTCCTTGTTTATCTAGAAAATACCTCATTGCTTTTGGAAACCCTCCTGAAGGATTCCTATTTGAAAACCCCAGCCCCAAGGAACTGGCCTCCAGGCAGGAGTGACATCCTGTGGGCTGTTTCCTGCCTTATCCTCATTTGGCTCAAGCCACAGCCAGGTAAACTGAAGTTTGGAAGAGTTCCTTTGTTTTCTTGGCCTACACTGTATAGTATTTGGCAAGTATATACAATTACAAAGAAGTAAAAAAGAGGCTGGCATAGTGGTTCACGCCTGTAATCGTAGCACTTTGGGAAGTTGAGGCAGGAGAATTGCTTGAGGCCAAGAGTTCAAGACCAACCTGGCCAACATAGTGAGACCTTCATCTCTAAAACAAAGAAAAAAGACTGATAGAGGCTGTATTAGGGTTCGCTAGAGGGACAGAACTAATGGAATATATATATATATATATAGGGGAGTTAATTATTAGTTAATTATTAAGTATTGACTCACACAATCACAAGGTCCCACAATAGGCCATCTGCAGGTTGAAGAGCAAGGAGAGCCAGTCCGAGTTCCAAAACTGAAGAACTTAAAGTTCAGTGTTGGAGGACTGGGTGCATCCAGCACAGGAGAAAGATGTAGGCTGGATGGAGCCTAGGCCAGTCTCTTTTCACATTTTTCTGCCTGTTCATATTCTAGCAAACTGGCCACTGATTAGATTACGTCTACCCAGATGTAGGGTGGGTCTGCCTTTCCCAGCCCACTGACTCAAATGTTAATCTCCTTTGGCAACACCCTCACAGATACACCCAGGATCAATACTTTGTATCCTTCGATCCAATCAAGTTGACACTTAATATTAACCATCACAAGGCCTGGCGAGGTGGCTCAAGCTTGTAATTCCAGCACTTTGGGAGGCTGAGACGGGCGGATCACGAGGTCAGGAGATCGAGACCATCCTGGCTAACATGGTGAAACCCCGTATCTACTAAAAAAAAAATACAAAAAACTAGCCGGGCGAGGTGGCGGGCGCCTGTAGTCCCAGCTACTCGGGAGGCTGAGGCAGGAGAGTGGCGTGAACCCGGGAGGCAGAGCTTGCAGTGAGCCGAGATCCAGCCACTGCACTCCAGCCTGGGCGACAGAGCAAGACTCCATCTCAAAAAAATATATATGTATATTAACCATCACAGAGGCCTATTCCTTCAAGGCTTTTTTTTTTTTTTTTTTTGGTCCTGATATTTGAGAGTGTCCTAGCCATGTTTTATCCTGATTGAGAGATAATAAATGTAACACCTTCCTCTCACATAGCATAGCAGCCAAGAACCAAGTACCGTAGTCTCTGCCTCTCTCCTGTGATATTAGGGGAGGTAAATGTTAAGTAGTTATTAGCACAGTGCCTGCATAGTAGACACTCAAACTCTCTACCATCACAGGATTGTTGGATAAAATTTTGAAGATATAGAAAAGTAGAAGAGGC